AGACCATGTTGCACTCACTGCAATTGGAAAAGGTTCTGGATTGACAGCCAAACTCCAAAGACATTTTCGTCAAGATCGCGAAATGGAGCAGGGATTGGAAAATTAAATTCATCCCGGGAGAGACGCAATCCATAGTTTTCTCAGCCCGAAGGCAATCACTTCCAGGCCTACTAGAACTCGGAGGACAAAGGCTACCATGAAGGTCCAAGAACACATATCTTGGACTTATCTATGATAAACGTCTAGTATGGCACGACCAGTTGGCAGTCATAATTACCAAAGTAAGGTACTTGCTCCATGCATACTATCCAATGCTGACAGGTAAGCTCTTCCTGCAAACCAAGGTGAGAAGACCTGCTGGATCACATAAGGAACTTAACGTCAAAGTTTCTGGGCGGGCCTCGGCAAAGCAAGAATCCCACTGTCAGGGTTTCTTGCACAAAAAAGTTTCACTGTGATCGCAGACCTCTCCCTGCGGACACAGTCTAAGAAGAAGACGTTGACCACATGCGATGACCAGTTCCTGCGCCACATCGAGGACCATCTGCTAGCTATATCTTAGTTTATAGGAAGCCAGAGAGGCTGTTTGGGTTAAGTTACGATTAGAATCAGGTTAAGAAAGATTAAGCCTCTGATGTCAATAAATCCACTGATGTTAGTATTTAAGTACCCGTAGATTCAGTAGCAATAAGGAGGTGTAATTCTTGTTTGAAAATAAATATGTTCACATTTTAGTTAAATAACTAGTCTTTGGAGAGAGGTGTAGGAGACCAAATCTACCGCAATCTTAACGTATTCGATAATTATTACCGCAGAAGTGGACGAAGCGTTCGAACATTTGAACGGATATTTTGACCGAGCGTGAAAGTCTTTATTATCTGAATGTGCAAGCATACTTATCACTAAGTAGTGTAGTATTTTTTGTTCACTTCCTCACAGCTGTCGGATATAGAGGTTTAACTATTTTGTAACTACTCATTCATAGTGATCGCTTCTCTCAAAACAACACTCACAGTTTTTTTCAAAAAAACCATTATTTTTCCCACAACTATTTAAAAGCAATAATAAAGTTTTTGTCACAAATGCACGTTGAGCACAAAAAAGTAAATGTCAATGCCAAATTTTTCTATGGTCAAGATGATTGATTAACAAAAACCTGAACGTTCTGGTCTATATGTAATTTTCGAATGAACTAGTCTGATTAATTAATAAAATACAGCCAAAACAGTTTCAAAATTATGCCTATTTGGACCCACCGCAAGTGGGTCAAAATACTCAAAATACTCGCAAGTGGGTCAAAATTTTACTTGAAAATGTATTCTGAACAGCCTAAAAACTAAAAACCGAACCGAATCAAAACGAAAATCTTATCTGTTCTCAATTAAACCAGCAAAATGCGGAAATATTCCTGAAATTATACAATGTGCCCTTTCAGTTTGAATAGATAAAAGTCGTAGCAGCTATTTTTTTTATTCCCTGCAAAACAAATACAAACTAATGAATTATTGAATGCTCCCTTAATAAGTCCCTAGTACCAACCATGTTATTTCAGACAAATGCCGATATTTCCAGGTCGACTAAAAGTTCAAAACCGCTATATCGTCTACATTTTCCTGATAAATCCGACTAAAAATTCGAAGGCTTAACTACTCTTAATCTCCTTGTTCTGGTTTTATTGGGCGAACAAATGAATTAACTGAAGAGATAATAGGAGCCGTACATGAACGCCGAGCTTTTCCATTAAATTTCAAAAATGCACTTTTTAGTTGCTTTCAACTTGAAAAAAAAACTAATGTGATTATAATCCCAGTAGCTGCAGCTTCTGTGGGACTGTTGTGAGAACGTTAATTAGGTTAATTAAAATTTATATATTCGGATATGGAGCTTTAAAAAAAATATTCACAATCACGCACCACGGAGCAGATTGGAATTTATTGGCCTGGTGCAAATTGAGGTGGAGGCTGGGCGTTGTAAATGTTTATATTTCGAGTCAAACTAGCTAATTAAACTGTATACTAATGTGTGAATGTGTTCGTTGTAACATTCTGCATCCCGCTAAGCCCGGTGGTGCCATAAAAAATAACACTTTTAAAACCAATTGATTGTTTCGGCCGCTTTTTGTCTACTCGGACAGATGCACTTCAGTGCCAAATAAACCAGTAAAGTTCTCATTCTTCATTTATATTCGCCATCAAAAATTGTTACGATTCAGATCCGTATCGCTTCGCTGATAAATTGGAAAAAGCGGAAACAAAGAACCGAAGTTCGTGCCGTAAATGACATCTTCTTCGGGGCTTGTTCAATTATTTTAAAAGCAAAAGCTCATCTTAATTCAATTTCACTTGCTCTATGGCTTACCTTTAGATCTCAAGGGGCCGAAGACTGGCTTCCAAAAAATATCATATGGAGTTGAAGTTGAAAATTTCAAGAGCTTAACTTTTGTTATCCTCAATTGAAATACTCATTTCAAAATTGAATATATCTAATAGATTTTTAAAGCTAGCTGGAAATGCTCAAGGCTTTATTGAGTCATTGAGTAGCTGTGGGAATTATGATGCCAGGTGTTCCATCGAGACAGGGAATATTATTAGTGGTTTTGATGTACAGGCACAATTTTACTATTGGATTTTCTAACTCAAATCTAAGCTATATAAGAGCAGTTAGTTGAAACCCACAAAAAACAGTTGCAAAACATTATATGTCTATATAGGAAATTCTAAAGTTTGTTTGAGATGTCGCGTTCCTAGAAGGTTTCAGATTGAGCATTTCCTTTGCTCAGTAGATGTTTTTGGGAAACTGATATTATTTGTTTGTTTCCAGAGTTGGTTATAAAGTTTGAAAAACAGTAGCGAAAATACAAAAGTTGTTCATAATTGTTCATAAATGTTGACTTCAAGTGAACAGAAATTTTGAAGAACAACTAAAATGCAAATAATTGCCAAAATTTTTCACTGCTTGTGGTCTATTATATTTTTCTTTTTAGGCCAATTCCGCGACTAAAGAAACCATTATAAAACGACTCCGAAAATGTTCCCAACCAAACTTCAATCGGAAAATGTTTGTCGTAACCAGAGCATACTCCCTTCAAGTTCACGGGAATTTACCTGCGCTTTAAGAACAAAAATTAGGACACAAATTTCCAAACTAAAAAACAACTTTGCTCATTTCAACTTCTCATAAATATTGGGCGGATTGAAGCGGCGTTCTTTCTACACTCTATTGAATTTTGTCGTTTGCGAAGAAACCAACTCTCGGAAAGTTTCAGTTTAAGTTGTGCCAGCCATTTCTTGGATGGTTTTAATATTTAACAGTGCAGGCATGTTGTAGATAGTTTCAACTTTCGAATTTAATATTTTACCATAAAATGTGGATTTTATCGTTAATGGGAACGACAATATTTTGATTTTGAAAGCCGTTCTTGAATGTAATCAACGTTCAATTACTGAGCGCCTTTTACCGATATATAATTATAAATTAGCAGCTTACAACTTTTGCTATTTACTCTTTCGTTATATTAACATGCGATAGGAGACGTTTAGTTGGTTTCTTCAGCTTAGTTCAGCATTCGTTGGTATTGGTTTAAGATCGAGTTCTAAGAAGTTTGTTTTGTTATGATGACATTTTTTTTAAGCAATAGCTTAAAAATGATCCCTGCGACTGTTCATAATAACTGGAATTGAATATCTTGCATACGATCTCAATTTATGGGTTCAAGGTACTCAGAACGATTTCAAATGCAGGATTCAATGGATGGATGGAAGTTCAAAGCCATACATGTTTACATTTCCTAAACATATAAACAAAAAAAAAGTATTTGAGTGTTTGATACATATTTGCTACTATCTACGCTCTAAACCCTTCTTGCTTAAGGTAGGACCCGCAACTATAAAATTAGCTGATTTAAGATCAGAAAATCGCCTTTGGTATTTACGAGCGTACCACTTAGCTGTTCAGCTGGAAATTTTACGAAATACATGTTTCCTAGAACGCCAAATTAATAATTTTAGTTGATTCTTGCATTTATATTAGTGTCTAATAAAAACAGCTTTGATTACCAAAGGATCCTTTCAAAGCACATATTTATGAAACTTAAATATTTTTTAAACACAAATCTCAAAATAGAGGAACGAGTTTGCTCATTTAAACCCCCTATAAATACTAGCCGGAATGGAAAAACCGCTCTTTCTGCACTCTATTTTAGTAATTTTCACAGAAACAACTCCTGCCAAGTATTCTTTTAGTTCCACCCAATATTCCCAGGAACCTTTTAATATTTAACAGTAGTGCCTTATTCCGGTTAGTTTCACCTTGCAGATTTAATATTTTGCGGTAAGATCTTTATTGTGCCATTACAAGAGACACAATTTCGATTAGGGAAATGCTCTTTGCTACGGGAAAAGCGACTCCGAAACATAAGCAGTAAAGCCAATGAACTACGGTTCGCTCGGGCTTTTAGCATAATAAAATAAGGATGTGTCATTTGGTGCACATGTCTCGATATTTACTGATGGCTCAATATATCGAAGAAGATTTTCGATATGAAAATGGAAAACATTTCATTATAGTATGATTGATATGGTTACCGGAGCTTAATCTGCAACTTCACTTGAAGAACTTTTATTGATTGATGTCGTGTGTGGTTCGTCAGAGATTTATGGAACTTCTGCAGAATTCCTGCTTGAACAATTGGAATCGCAATGGGATTAAGCATCGTTAGTATCAACAACACAGGAGTATTGGAGCAAATCGGGTGCAACTACTGTAAGAAGCAAGGGTTTAGAGTCTGTTTCAAGCTATTTGACAGTGAGGGCACTCATTTTAAAAGCCCCTTTTGTCGGCATATCATTGTTCGACCACTATAAATTTCGTTGAAATGTCCGTAGGATTAAAAAGCAGCAAACCGTGCAACTGTCCTACCCTCCAGACAGTGCAAGTCACCGATTCGAATCTCATGATATTCGTTTTCCCAATGGAGAGGGTAATTTAAGATTGGAACTTACCGACAACCAACATATGAGCTTGATCGGCGACAGTTTCGAAATAAGGAGCTTCCCCGGAGACTTCACATCTATAAATTCCGCTCGTCGAAAGTTGCACCGATGACAAGACCACCGAAAATTCCGTTGAGTTGTGGAGCTGTAAAAGACAAGATAAAATTAGTATTTTTGCTTAGGGGATTTGTGAAATGCGATTGTCCATGTGGAAACTTCACTTTGAAAGGTCCGCACCTTAAAGCGTTTCCCTCACGAATTTTTAAGCTAAGTAATGGAGAAAGCGGCTTTCTGGAGCATGCAAGTGAGTAAAACTTTGTTGCAAAATTCGAGTTAAGATCCACAAGGCAACCATTTGATCACGTCGAGTTTTAGATAATAAAATTATGAGATTTTTCGAGTAACGTTGAATGGTTGTTTTATTATTATTAAATTGCATTTTTTTTTTGCAAAAATTTTGCAACACAATCGCGATGCTTCGGTACCAAGAAAAATGTCTTAGGTTTGAAATGGCCGCTAGGAAATAGCTCAAGACTATTGCAGCTAGCGTCTTGCGCTAAGTAATATAAAATTTGGCTTTGTCGTTCTAAAAAACCCCCAAACACCTTTTCCTTTCGGTAATAGTAAAAGAAGTTTGAATCTCTTAAAAAAATAAAATTATATTCAAAATTTCTTCATTCAGTTCTCTGTTCTTAAGATGTCCAATGTTAGAAGTTGTTGTGATGCTTCTTGTAACGCTTTTGATTCCTCCATGCATGTATACAAATAATTTGTTAGCTTTTATCAGCACTGATTGTGTCATTGTCCAAGAAAATTGTCACCGACATCTCTATTCTAAACTTTTTTTTAACACAGGAAGCAACCTCCGAATAGTCAGAGCTAAATTATCCATACAGAAGCTAGATATTAAACAGATAGAAGAAAAGAAAGAGAAACAGATTAAACAAACAGAAGAAAGATATTAAACACAACACAGATGCAATAAATAGCAGCACTCTGAAAGAGAACAATATCGTATACCAAAACGAATTGAAACCCAAATTAAGCCAAAATGTAAGCCCAACAAATATAAATGAAGTGGCAACACATCTAACAACGGTAATTAAAAAAAGATCACTCAATATCGCAAAAAAGAAAACGAGAAAAATAAACCAACTAAGAGCGGAAACGATTCAGCTGATAGAAAAAAGAAGTACATTGTACGGCGAATGCAAACAGAACATAGGAAAATACCGCGAAACCAGAAGACAAGCAAGAAAAATAATACGCGAGGATTTGGAAGGAAACTACATAACAGAAGTAGAGAATACAATAGAAAATAATAAAAACATGATATGCCTACGGAGAAACAACGGTAGGAAAGAATTAATAGTTCTAAAAAACTCCATGCACCGGGAAACCAGAAATAAGAAGAAAATGCTAAAGATCACCAAGGAATTTTACCAAGACCTATACATCTCACAGAAAAAGAAATTAGAAACGATTACATTTAAGAAAGTGTGAATGTGGGGTCGGACGACATCCTCGAAAACACAGAGGACGAAATACAACATGCTCTTAAAATATCAAAATCAAGAAGGCAGATCAAGGAGGCAGAAGACATAATCATCCCCAAGCTAAAGACACTTTTCAACACTTACTTCCAAACCCAAGAAGAACCTGAAACCTGAAGCGAATCCATAATTATCCTACTCTACAAGAAATTAGCCTCGACGCTTCTCCCGAATTATAGGCCAACTTGTTTGCTTTCGCACATCTATAAATTGTTCACGAGAATCATCGTTAACAGAATCAGTAGCAAACTCGATTATTATCAACCTGTGGCACAGGCGGCATTTAGAAAGAGCTTCAGCACATGCGATCATCTCTTGACTTTCAAAATTATAAATGAGAATATGACAGAATACAACATGCCATTATACACATCCTTCATAGATTACGAGAAGGCTTTCGATTCTATCGAACATTGGGCAATTCTAAGCGAGCTAGGCCTAGCCCATGTCGATTATAGATACACAAACATACTGAAAGAAATTCACAAAAACGTGAAAGCGGTAGTGAGAATACACGAAACCACAGATTCCTTTGCCGTGCAAACGGGAATCGAACAGGGCGACGCAGTCTCACCCAAATTATTTACGCTGGCCCTAGGAATTTTCAAGAAGTTAGACTGGTCAGAAGAGGGAGCCATCATAGATGGCGAGAGATTAACACATCTCAGATGCGCAGACGACATAGTCCTGTTCGCCAACAACGCTGCACACCTGGAAAAAATGATTACAGATCTGAATATAAAATCAAGGAAAATAGACCTCAGAATCAATATGATTAAAACCAAAACTATGTGTCCGGTTGACCCCCATATAGTAATAGGCAACAATAAAATAGAGGATGTGAAGGACTATACATACGTAGGCCAACGAATAACTCTTGGAAAGGGAAACAAAGATATCCAGACAGAAATGAGAATTAGATCAGCATGGGCGGCTTTCGCAAAATTAAAAAATATACTCACAAACAAAAAATACCTCTGTATCTGCGATCAAAACTTTACGACCAATGCGTATTGCCAGTAACCACATACGGCGCTCAAACATGAACCTTCACAGGACAAATAGTGAACAAGCTTAGAGTATCCCAAAGAAATATGGAAGGAAGAATGGTAGGCGTTTTTCTGCGTGACAAAAAACGAAACGAGTTACTTAGAAGCAAGTCTAAAATAACAGATATAATAGACCGGGCACAACTGAAATGGGACTACGCCGGACATATCGCCCGAATAAAGGATAACAGGTGGAATGGAAGAGTGTTGCGATGGAGGCCATGGACCGGCAGAAGAGCGAGAGGAAGACCTCCCACACGTTGGTACGACGATATTAAAAATGTGGCAGGACTTCCATGAATGAGAATTCTCCAGATTTGAACAAAATGGAAATAACTATGGTAGGCCTATGTCCAATTCTGTACGAATAACGGCTAGAAGAAGAGAGGAATAGATTTAGTTCCCCTATTTAAGTTGTAATGTTTCTATGGATGCACAAACAGTTTATTCGGATTTCAATGAATTCTTCCAAATTCCTGGTAGTCGTTCTTTAAATTTTTAAAGTGCTCCAACGTCATCAGAAATTACCGGAACTTATTAGCAGTGGAAGGGAACATCAATCGTTTTATATGTAGGTAGAAATATTTTCAGGTGTTTGTGAAACTTCCTCGTCTGAGAACTAAAGTAAGCGCGTCAAGATACATTATTCACCTTAACACTATTTGCCAGACACTCTCCTGTTCTAGTTGCAAAGTATTCGATATGAGAAATATTCGCAGGAAACGGCCCCATTTTATTCATAGCCGGTGCATTATTGACATTGACATATTCAACATTTGCGCTTCTGCGAGTTAGAAATGCGAACCGAACGTCGCTTTATTCCTGTCTCTAGAGCAAAAGGTATCGTCACGTTGATGGGGAGGCCTTAACTTCATGTTGCATACTGCATTGGAAATGCGAGCAAATTGAAAAACGCATTTCAGAAACGCCCATACGAAAATCTATCGCCGAAATATGCTCGGGAATATTTGACAATTTCATTGAAAAATTTCCTATTGAGAATTTCGATTTATTTCCTAGGATGGCAGTCTGTATAAATGCACCATGAATATTTAAGGCCTAATCAGGAATTCTTAGTTGGTTTATAAACTCAGTCTCGCTCAGTAGTTAAAAAGACACAACAAACAACTTAACTAGCATGTTTGAAAGTACGCTTTAGTTCTTTATAATCGGGGGCTAAAGGAAAAAGTAAGAAGAACTAATAAATCGCTCTATAGAAAGCAACAAAAAATGAAATGCTTAAAACCACACATAGGTAAAAGAGAATGAGAACAGTATTTAACGAAGAAGGACAAGAAGCCACGAAATGAAAGGAGGTGCTCAACATAATCGAGCCGTTTTACATTGAACTGTATCAAACGAAAAACCAACGAAGCACACAGGAAGGACTGGCGAAGGAAACTAAAGGGTGTTCCTGTGTTGCTGATATTTCTGCTAGAGCTAGTTCGTCGGAACTTTTGCTCTTTTGTGAGTGCCTTTAATGGCTTATTTGAATTTAAGTTTGTT